TATAACAGTATAATTGAAAATTAGAAAACAAAATTTAAATAATTATAACAGTATAATTTGAAATTATAAAAAAGTCTTGTAGTTTCTCTTCATGCTTCAATCCAATCATACCAACCAAGCAGACTTGTGTTTGGTCTTTCTGTTAAGTATGATATGCCTGCTGCATCCCATTTAAGGCGCCCTCGATTGGGCGCTGTTCGATACCTCTGCTCGTCTGCTGGCGTCCGAGCGGAGTGTGACTATAATCGGTAGTCAGTGTTGCCATTGCCGTTGCCATCGCCCACCTACTGAGGGCGTTTCTCGCATTGCAGAGAGCAGCGAGCGAATCCATCGCGGCGAAGCCACCGCCGCCGCGCTGCCCCGCCGACTGATCCGCTGGCCGCTGGCTTGCAATAGACAAATAGTCGCATAGACTAGCGCATAAAAAAAGGAGCCATAGCAACGGCGTGGCAGTTGTTGTAGTGGTCATTCTCTGGCCGATTTATAAAGGTGGCTTATTATTGCAATTTAGCCACTGGTTTTGATTTTACCCAAGGTATAAAAACACAGCGAGAGGTCGCACCGTGTGCGTGCGTGTGTGTGTCGAGACAAATGTCATTTGGCAGTATTCGAGCGACTATATAGACTGTCATGATCATTATCACAATCCACTATATTCGACTACTAAGAAACGGCACGCACGGCCATCGCTGTGGTTGGTCCCCCATTTGCCAGCCGGGCTGGCTACTTGTCAACCCGATCGCCCAAAGGCGGACAGAGAGAGAGAGAGAGGGAGAGAGAGAGCGAGCGAGAGAGAGAGAGGGAGAGTGCGTGTGTGATCGACTAAACAGTTCCACATATGCATAGTGGGCCAATGTCCTGGGGCGTTAGCATCGAACTGGCTTAAACTGGCCAACGTTGCCATATCTCACTCAGGCACGATCGTTGCGTCGTCCACTCATTCGTAATTTATACTTTCAGGCAGTGCAGTCAATAAATGTCATGTTTGGTTGTTGATTGTCCACACCACACCAGGCCACAACAGGCCGTCCGCAGTCTCTATACGCTCTGCTCCAGTATTCGAAATCGCAGGCATTCCTCTTAAAGCGCATTATGCACAACGCGATCGCTCGCCTCCCAGCACAACGCCAGATCTCCATAGCCCCCCCCCCCTCTCCTCACCTACCTCTGCTCCCTCTGTCGAGCCTTTGCGATTTGCGTACGTAAGATCAATTGCAGGTGATTTGTTTAGCTGTCGAAATCGTCGTCTTATCGTAACTCATTACGAGATTTATTTTGTTCAACAAATGCAGAAGGTGTGATTTGTCTTTGTACCGATCTCAGATCCCCTCGCTCTGCCCCGCTCGCCCTCTCCCTCTCTCTCTCTCTCTCTCACTCTCGCTCTTTGTCCCAAATGTATTGGTGCTGCTCTATCCCTTTCTATGCGCCGCTCTCTGTCTGGCATTTATTTTTTATTGAGTGAATCAGCTTGCGGAGCTGAGCCCGTGGCCCGTGTATGGACTTTTAGGCAATGGTTCAATAAATTTTGCCCAT